CTGTAACAAGGACTTTTATTCGCATGGCGTTTCTGATTCTTGCTCAGGCCCATCATTAGAGACAGTCGCAGTTGCCGTTCCTCCCGTTAAATGGGTGTCGGGGACCCGCCATGCGAAGCATATGTCTGGATTTTCAGCAACTACCTATGCCGATTGTACTGAAACGCATTATACTGCTGGAGTCTCGGATTTACGCCGGAGTTGACAGCTTTGGACTCAAGTTTTCACTCCAACACAGGTGTCGGATCTGTAGTTTGCGACCAGTTATGAGGGTACGCTCATTGTAAGTACTTGTCGGCAACTTTCCACCATCACTCGAGTTTTCCTACCCTTCTCGGTCCCAACATTATTCCTCCTAGCATGCGGCTTTGCTTCTTTCATTTGGATACGCGAATAAGTGCCCCCTCCCCCTGTTCTGCAGATGGTTTAACGCTAAATTTCAAGGGAGGTACCAATATCGGTAAGGCTAAACAGCCGCACCTGATGGACACAATACTATTGACGAACTTAATTATTTTGAGCTGGTGTGATTACGTTGGCAGGGTATTGCTGTGCGCTGCGGTGTGTGTTCTGTTGGCGGCCTTGTTTCTTTGTTGCCGTGTCTACCTTTTTCCGGTCCAATTCCGGTTATCCTTCTTGACTTTTGACCTGTCGTCTCTTTCTAACCTTCGCATTGGATGTTACAGGGTTATGGTTTAGGGCTGCAGCCAAAGGTTAGGGTTAAATGTAGGGGTTAGGGCTTAGAGCTAGGGTTGGTGGTTATGGTTATAGGTTGGAGGTTAGGATTAGGGTTAGGGGTTAGGGCAACTATTTCTCGACCACTCAAAGTACAACCGCGCATTTCCAATAGTTTTTCTTTTGTATAAAATTACTTGAACTCGTCGTCTGTGCGTCCTCCGGCCCCACCTGCAAAAAGCCCCATTACCACCAATTCCGTATTACGGGTGGCTGGGGTTTATTGACCTCAGGTGCGGCTACATGACCACATCTGATCCCTATTTCCGCCTCCCAACTTTGACCCTAACCCTAGTCCTTATCCTAGCCCTCCTAACCCTTGCCATACCCCTAACAGTAACCGCAACTCTAACTTTAATCCCACTGGAATGTAGCGCAAGGCCACATGTACTACGGGGGTGAGCCCCTACTCCCGTGTTCTACTCTTCTTTTAGTTCTCTCTGTCTTATTTATTCCATTCGGTATCTTCCACATCCCACCTCCATTTCAATTTCCACTACTAGTAT